GAGGAAGCTAGCTATACCTGTCATGGTCACACTGTACTTCAAAGAGCATTAGACTGCATTTTCAGTGTGGGTCTTCAAGCTTAGTTTGAAGTGTCTGCTCATATCAATTTTTTAAATGTCCACATCCTTGGATATGGCTCATAAGCTGTCTCAATGTTTTATCCTGCATCCAGTTGAGAAAAACAAAATTAGGACATTCATGTTAATGTATTGTAGAGCATGCACCCTTGCATTGAGCTGAGTCTCATGCCGGAAGAGCCAGGTGACTCCACACACACACACACACACACACACACACACGCACACACACAAATGGGATAAAATAAAATTATCCTTGGGCTAAACTAGACTTTCCAAATGGTATTGCACCCAGAGAGTCCCATTAAGATAAAAAGTTGTTTCGCAGGGTTTCTGATGCTTGGAAGAAGCATTATTCATCATTTTACAGCTGCTCCTTTTTCAATGGAAAAATGCTGTTTGGACCAGTGTGTGCCATGTGATGAAAGCGGAAGTTGTAGTAATGTGGTTTGGCCGCTATGCCAGATTTACTTCACAGCCCAACACTGCTGCTGGGGGCTTGGATAAAACAAATCAAAACCAAAACTGTCAGCATGGCTAGAAACCACCAGTGGTACATGTGAAAATATATAATTTTATACAAATTTATTTGTAAATAAATTTAGGGAACTAACCCTTCTCAACACCTGCACTGAAAATCCTTTTTACGCCTGCGTACTGTATATCTGTAAGGACCCTGGTGTTGTAAATAGAACAAAACTGTTATTCATGTTGTTAGGTACATCTACGTGTGTTTTGCTATACAAAATCAAAATATACATTTTACCTAAATTAACAGTCTAACTAGGATTGTTGCATTTACAGGGGAAAAGAAGAAAAAAAGTACCCAAAGCCATCAGTATGTAACCTACATTAGTTAGATTTTTAATAACATGATAAAAAGCATAGTATTTTCCATCCTACCTGCATGTAAACTAAACTCACCTGGTGTCCCAGGTGTAAGTCACTTCCTAATTAGATGGCAAGAATGTAAACCAGCAGGACTCAGCACTGTGTGAACCTTAATTTGCAGCAGTCAAATGTTTCCTGCCTGAGAGCAGACTTCTAATGAGCAACAATCTGTGAGAAATTATTGTTCAAATAGTGTTTTAATGCTGATTAAATTAAATAGCTCTCCTGCTCTCACCCCGGTTACAGATTTAATATGGTAAGTCGACTGTTTCACTGTTTAAATAAAAAAAAAAAATATATATGTATATTTTTCAGCAACAGAAGAATAAATCTACTTGAGTAGTTTGGAACCACTCTTCTAATGGAAGACAGATTTGTGTAACATTTGATTTATTTGAAAACCAAATCAACTTTACACTCCAGCTCTCTTATGAATTCTGATGTGGCAAATTCAGTTATGTTTAAAAATAAATCCTTTAGTTGCTTTTGAAGTAATTTCTTTTTGTTTTATTTTATTCATTCTTTTGAATGTTGTTTACACAAAAGGTTCATATTGTAGTTGTCTGACTTGGCTTTGAGAGTGAATTATTCATGCTCACAAACAATGACTCTTCTGGGTCATCAGAAATATGATTTATGAGCTTTGCCCTAGTATACTGTTATAGCATACAGTTTATTATCAGATTATTTGCATAATGAACTTCCAAACTATGTTAAAGAGTCCATGGCATGCTCATTTCCGGTCATTTAATGTGTAATCTTGGGTATCTCTAGATTAGCTTTGCACCCATCATAACTCAAAATAGTCTAATTATTTCAGAATGATAAAACCAGAGAAGCGCTTCCTAAAAATGAGAGGATAGTTCATGAATGTGTACAACTCCTGTTGCCACTATTGTTGCAAGTGGACAGCAGGACAAACTGCAATGGCATAAATTAATTTGAATTTCAACTCCATAGACAGTTAAACAACGGTATATGTACCAATAAAAAAAGATGTGTAACACTCTAAACTTCTTCTTCTTTCGGCTGTTCCCGTTAGAGGTCCCCACAGCGAATCATCTGTTTCCATCTAACTCTATCCTCAGTTTACAACAGTTCTCTCTAACTTTACAGAAACAAGCATTAACAGACATGCAACTTGTGTGTTTTTCTTTTATTTTCTCTCTTAGCGTTAAGTCCCACTGAGTAATGGAAACATCATTCTCTTTCAAGTACTGTAGCTCTGAGGTCAGTAAATCCAACTGGTGGTCGTTAATCTGCATGTTAACCAGCAACACATCACATGTGGCAGACACACTGGCCTCAAGCAGTCAAAACAAACAAATTCAGCGTTGAACAGCTGATCACTAACCACCATGAGGGCTTCACAGGGCAGATGCTTGTAGGTTAGACCTGGTCAGGTAAAGCAGCAGGTCCCTGCACAGGAGTGTTTCCGGACATGCCGTAACCTCAGGCCCTGTACTTTTCTCCACATCCTCTGGTCACAGTGCAGCAGCAGGAGAGAAAATACTGTATATCACAAAACCGGTCACAGTCGAAAAATTCTGCTTTAACAATGGCACCAGTGAATGTCACGCAAGCTCACATTAAGGCACAACTGCCTGGAAATTGTGACCATTCAAGGAAATCCTTAAACTATCACAATACTTTTTGTCAGCAAAAACAAGTCTCACAATTGAGAGTTTGTGAGACTTGTATGAGTTGCTTCTGCATAGAAATACTAGAACATGTGTTCACCTAATTTTTGAGCTTTAGGTCACATCAAAGATGATAATTCACTATTGTAACAATGTAGATAAGTCAAAAAAAACAAGGAAAAGCATGCCATGGGCTCTTTAAAGTGCTAGTTTGAAAATGAAAACACACCCAGGTGTAAAAAAAAGAGTGATAGGTGTCAAGACGATCATCGCTTCTGCCAAAGGAAGCATAACATGTCACATACTTAGCAAGATAAACAATATTACCATTAACACTTGTCTAAAAATTATAAATGACTCCACACAAAATGTCTGGCACTCCATACTCTGAATATGTAGAATTAAATGGAGTGAGACGAATGTAACTGAGATTCATCAATAATTCTTAGTGATCTTCATGAACCGGTGGTACTTGCAGTAGATAATGATGCAGCCTTGGCAGTAGCAGTGCTTTTTCCCTTCTGAAGGTCAACACAATAATCATAGTAAGGAACATTTTGTTAAAAGGACGGCTCCTGCTCCCAGCCAAGATTAATTTAAATGTACCTTTTATCTGAATGGCACGACTGCATCCGTGTCCAAACATCAAATAACCCCATAAGATGCTCACTCAGCACAGATTTAATTTTTTAAATTTTACTTTCTTGTTCATGGTGTCTAACATGGCTTATGTTTTGTGGCTTCCCATCCCCTAAATATTTCTCAGAAGTCACAGGAACTTCACATTAATTGCCTTACAGCACTGACAACAGGTTTAATATCTAAGACAGAATTTGTGGGTACATTGGGCAGGCATTATAAAAACATTATTGAAAACAGCTAGGGTCTGAGTGTTTCTAACATACCCAGATTCATGATAAGCCTTCAAAGCTCCTCTTTTGTTCCACTCTTAATATCAGTGCTTGCATGTAGAGAGTAGATTTGACTGACAGCACAGCCTTGTCTCGGTGGATGGTCTTGTTGTCAGCAGGGGGTTTAACCTATTGTTTGGAGTAAAACACAACAGCGGTTTTGTCTTGCATGTTGCATCATGGCAAAAACAGCTTTGTTTTGCGATGGCAGTGTGTGCTTTGTCAGTTTTTTTTTACCTTTTGAAAATGTCCTATTGAGTTTAAATAGTAAAACCAACAGAAGGGTACATAACAAATGCCTTGATCTGTCATCCCAGCTTTTCAGCCTGGGGCAGAGACAAACAGCCATTAATTCCATTCAGTTCAGTTTTGTTTGTATAATGCCAAACAACAACAAAAGTCATTTCAAGCCACTTTACATAGTAAGGACTAGATCTTACAGTACTATAAAGAAAACCCCAACAGATCCTCCTTGAGCAAGCACTTGGCAACAGTGGACAGGGAAAACTTTCTTTAACAGAAGAACTCTGGGACAGAACTGGGCTCCTGGAGGGCCACCATGTAGAAATGAAATTTGCTGCTGAAGACCAGTGCGTCATTTTGCTTCTGCTAACCGTCGCCAGTAAAAGGAAAAAAAGAGACATGCATTTGCCATATCGTAAAGATGCCAATGGGCATGAGCAATTTTGCACAGCCCAGTTTTTTTTACACCAGAAACAGTTCTTCTGGAACATGGACTTCAGAGTAGTGTGATTGTACAGTATTTGCATTAGCGCCCCAATTGGAAACATGTGAAATAACACTTGTGCATCATAAAATTTTGGATGATGCATTTTGGTACCCAGGTTTCCAAGCCCTCCTTGTGTAGCTGGAAGCGTAGAGTCTGAAAGAACCCATACCTTGAAAGTGGAGAGAGCTTGGACAAGAGAATGTAGTTATGAGTGCTTAGATTAGAATCAGAATCAGTTTTATTGGCCAGGTGTGATGGACACATGAGGAATTTGACTCAAGTACATCGGCTCTCAATGTGCAGACAGGAAACCAGCATAAGGCTGTGTAATATAACAAAACAAGCAACATTGACAGCAACAAATACTGCAAGCAGTGCAGAATAAGCAGTATAAACAGACAGTAAACAATGCAGGCAACAAGGAATGATCATTGAAATGAGATAAATAGGGATAAAGATGGAGTACTTAAAACTAGAGAGCTGTACGAGTCTGTACGAGGTATATTTACAGGTATTGCACTGAGGGTTATCGTCCAATCATACTGTCGTGGGTTAAGTGTTCATCAGAGTGATGGCCTGAGGGAGGAAACTGTCCCTGTGCCTGGTTGTCTTAGTGCACAGTGACCTGTAACGCTGTCCAGAGGGAAGGAGTTCAAACAGATTGTGTCCGGGGTGTAAGGGGTCTGCAGTGATCCTGTCCACCCTCCTTTTGACCCATGAGGTGTACAGGTCCTCCATGGAGGGCAGGCTCAAAGTGCAGCAGAACAGTGGAAGGAGGTCACAGTACCAGCTTCAGGTAGAATTCCAGATGCTTCCAAAAGAAAATCAGCTTGAGAATCATTTATAGTTTAAGCTGCTTACACTTTACATTTAATTCTGACATAAATCATACCGCTAAATTACTGTATGCACAGTGCTTGAGGCCATGTCTTTTGTGTGTGTGCTTTTGTAGAGCTGCTAGTTATCTCATCCCTCAAGCCATACATATTGTACACAGTGCATTTGGCCGCCCTTAATGCAGTGGGACTGGGGCCATTCTCACACACAAGCAGCGTTTGCGCACAGGGAATACGTAAGTGCTACACACACCAAATCTATTTTATGCCATATGTGTGGTGCATGAATTGCATAAGCAGGGTGTGTGTTTTCATGTTTATACATTTGTATGGATTTATATTTATTGATGTACAATGTACAATATGCATGCTAGTGCACATGCGATATGTGCTGTATGTATAGCAAGCAAGGTTTAAGAAACTGTCGCTCTACAGGATGTCCGGGATGATGGTGTTGAACGCCGAGCTAAAGTCCACAAAGAGGGCCCGTGCATAGGTCCCTGGGGAGTCGAGGTGTTGGCAGGATGTAATGCAGTGCCATGTTCACTGCATCGTCCACTGACCTGTTAGCCCGGTAGGTGAACTGCAGGGGGTCTACAATGTCCTTCGGGTGAGCAAACACTAGTCTTTCAAAGGACTTCATAACTACAGATGTCTGTAGTCATTCAGTCCACCAATGGAGGTTTTCTTGGGGACTGGAATGATGGTGGAGCGTTTGAATCAGGAGGTTTCTATAGCCAGTGACGAGGGGTTGTTGGCTGAAACCTGAGCTTTCAGCTTTTCAGAGTAGCTCCTCTTTGTTGCTCTGATCTCCCTTGCCAGTGTGTTCCTTGCCTGGCTGTACAGAGTCCTGTCCCCACTTCTGTAAGTCTCCTCTTTGGCATGACAAAGCTGCTTGAGTCTTGCTGTTGTTAGGTACTTTCTTAGTTAGATAGATATTGATTAGAGATCTGTTGTATTAGAAGATGTTAGTGTAGCCAGGATGTCTTCCTCAGGCTGTTAAATGCAAGGTTAGTTAAAGCAGAGAAAGGCTGCAGTCAGGGACAAATGTTATTATGAGCAGGTTTGTTGCTCTGAATTAGTCTGCTCAGTCCAGCTCTTTTCTGTTTTGACTACAGGCTTCGCAGCTTTAAGTTTCTTCCTGTAGGTTGGAATAAGATGGACCATACAATGATCAGAGAGTCTGAGGGCTGTGCGGGGGACAGAGTGATAGGCGTCTTTTATTGTTGTGTAGCAGTGGTCCAGGTAACGTGCTGTCTGTGCACTCTGGTTCTGCTTTAATAAAAAATTTAATAATGAATAATTTGTGAGTTTATTTATTTTTTTTACAATGTTATGACATTGTTCATGTAGAGCCAAATGCATTGCACAGGGATACATACAGTTAATTAGGTAATTCAGCACTTTATAAAAATTTTACTTAGGTATCGGATCGGTACTCTGAATCGGCCAATACTGAATCCCAGGCATCTGAATCGGTTTCGGAAGCAAAAAAGGTGGATCGCAGCATCCCTATTTAGCATGAAACTGTTGAATTCACGGGGAGAGTAAAAGGGTTTGCAATTGATAACAAGAGCCTCTAGGTCTGCGGTACATGTCCTCTGTAGCACTGTGACATCTGTGCACCAACCTTCATTTATGTAGAAGTAGATTCCACCTCCTCTCGTTTTCCCGGACAGCTCCTTTACACGATCCGCTCTGTACACCTGGCAGCCCGGTACTTGAAACACACTGTCCGCGATGAGTCGCTGAGCCAGGTCTCCATGAAGCACAAAGCAGCAGAGCGTGCAAAGTCAGTTAGTCCTGTTGACGAGAAGAGTTTCATCCATTTTGTTGACCAGGGAGCGGAGATTAGCCAGCTGAATAGATGGGAGTGAGGTCCGTGTTCCCCTCTGTTATAACCGCACCAAGGCACCAGCGCGTTTTTCATGTCGCCGACATTTTTTCCAGGTCCCGTATATCGCTGCTGCGCCTCCGATCAGAATGTCCATACAGCATTCTTTGTTCACAAAAATCGGAGGAAGGTAGTTTGGTTTGAGTTGTTCGATATTTAACAGTTCTACTTTGGTAAAATAATATAATAATATTAATAAACTTTATTTCTAAGGCACTTTACAGCCCACCTAAGCACAAAGTGCTGTACAATACCGAATAGCAACATAGAACATCATTGCAGTCTATAAACAAATAACACACCACTATCTCTGTAGAGAACTCAAAGCATCAAACGTCAGATAAAAAGGCCTGCCTAAAAAGATGAGTTTTTAAAAGTGACGTAAAAATAGATAACTCAGTTATATTCCAAAGCTCCTGCGGCAACGAATTCCACAGTCTAGCACCGTGGACAGCGAAAAAGTAATCTGGGATGAGTTGCAAAAGACCAAGAAAACAAAGAAAAACAACAAACACAAGAGAGTGTGAGTAACCACGGCTGCCATCGCTGTCGGCGCTATTATACATGTTTCAATCCAAATATATTATAAAAAAGAAAATAAACACTTGCTTGTATAAGCTTTATGTATTAAACTAAAGTACAAAGTCACTGTTACCCTTCCATGTAAAAAGATTAACACAAAAATAATAATTTCATATTTTCCTTTTTAACTTTCCTTCTGTTCCATCTGGGTCAGTTTTCTTCTTGCAGCCTTGTCTGGTTGGCTACAGCCCCATGGACCTTAAACCTCTTAGTCATATTAATAACTGTGGTCAGAGGAACATCAAGCTGCTCAGAGATGGTCTTGAAGCCTTTGCTTGGCAACTATTTTCTTCCACATATTCTCAGGCAACTCTTCTTTCCTTTCTCCTTATCTGTGTTCAGTGTGGTTCACATGATGCACAGCACAATGAGTAGGCTACTTTTTAGGTTGAACAGGATGAATGAGACTGAGGACACATGATACTAATTGAAGACAGTAGTACAGTCCATGTATTCATTACTACTTTCAAGGGGCACCAATAATATTGCTCTGGCCATTGTAGATGCACTAGAAGCAATTATTCAGTGTTTTTAAGATCGTCTTTGATTTTTTTTTTCTTCTTCTGTGGCAAACCAAAGGCTGCAGGTATGCATAACAGCAGAGCTTTTAATCGAGCACTTTTCAGCAACAGTGAGGTATAAGTACCAGTATTTTTAAACACTCCTGTAACTTTCTTTCTTCACTAAATAAGTGTGCAAGTCTAACCTTACTCGTACATCAGTGGTGTCAGCTAAGCTTAAACTGATGTTTACCTTAATGTGTGGATAAAGAAAACTTAAAGCTACGCATTTCTAGCATTATATCATATGTCCCCATATTTAACTTCTGAGTTTAGTCATCAACCAAAAGCCTGAACTATTTTAAACCACCATGTTTACCTAAAGCTGATCCCAAATGGAACTGTTCTTTTAAGTTTTCACTCTTAATAGAATGCTCTTTGTATCTTGATATTGAAACCCAAAATAGCAGTGAAGAAAAAGAAACCGCTCTGCCTTCTGCTTGTTGCCTACCAACTGGACAGCTCACTGTAATGTGAAGTAGTAATGGGAGTAGTGTGGTGTGCTTAAAATTAGTCTGCAATCTCTGATAAATGGGGTTGTTGGTTGAAATGGTCTGTGCTGCATCCTGATGTGGACAGAATGAGAGAGGAGCCAGACCCACATTCAGTCATTAGACAAGAGGATGAAATGGGACGGAAAGCTGCCAAGTGGTTGCCAGGTACTCTCATATCGACTCTCTAGCACATAGACACAGCCAGGGTACCAACACACACACAGTAAGAGGATGGAGGTAACATTTCTTTTAGCCCCGTTACTGCAGTTGAACACATTTAGTGTTTTTTTTATATATAATTTTTTTATGGACTACTGTGTTGTACATGGCATCCATTAGAGAGTAAGTTATGTAACCTCTGTGTAGGCACTGCAAGAATTGAACAAATGCAAATATTGTCTGCTGAGGTACATATAAGCATTGAGTTCATTATCTTTATAACAGCACTGTAAAACCTGAAAGGACTAAGTAACAAGCATAGTAACTCAATAAAAAGCAGGTAGACAGAGTGATGGATATGCAGTGTAGATGTGATTTAATTAGCTGTCTCTGCCACAGTGGTTCTACAGCATAAAAGTAGTTAAAACATCTAGCTGAGCAAATAGATGTAGATAATTGTGGAATCAGAAGTGTAAATTGTATTTTACTTGCTATTGGAGAGAAAGAAATGAGTTTGCATTAAAATCAACAAGTTCTCAAACAGGATCTTTAAAATAAAAAACAAATTACATATCCAGTGACACAGTTGGGGTTTGATAGCATTTTTTGAGTCAGCTTTTCAAATCTGAATTTTTGCTATTGAATATAATTAGGTTTAGCTTTTTTACACTTGCAAGTTATTAAAGTTATAATACTTTAAATTCAATTAGCATTTGTAATTACAGTTTGTGGGCTGAGAAGGCAGAAACACTGCACTAATGAGGCAGTCTAATAATCTTCACAACAAAAAGAGTGGATTGAGAATAGATTAGAATATTTTTCCAGCTAAGGAGCCATCTCTAACCAGTCCTTTCTCTTGCCAACGTGACTTATTTTTCTCATTATGGTGTGATCTCAGTCTTTTTTTTTTTTTCTTAGATCAGGAGTTTAATTAATCCACTGTGGTGCAAAGTTGTAAAACATTAAAATATCTTAATGTGGTGGAAGGTGGTGTATATGGCATCTGTGGTTTGGCTATTAACATTTTATTGGACTATTGTAAAATATAGTTTTTTTTTTGATACTCTTTGTATTTACAGTAATGTCCTTTGTACTCTGCAAACTGTTCTGTGATGAATGTGATGGACAGAATTTTATGAATAATTTGGACATGACACAAACAAACATCATTTGTGGTTAGTTATTTGTTGACAGCTTCAAGGTGCACGTTTGGCAGGCAACACCCCCTTGTCCCACATCAGCCTCCTGTTCTTACATGGGAAATTTTTCTGTCTTGGTTAAAAATGTAATGCATTTTCCCTATATTGTATCATTTGAGTCACACAAGAGTATTATTTGCTGTTACTGTTGTCAGTAGCTTTGACCCTTGCTTTATTCTTTCTTTTTTACTGTGGCCACTTTTACTGTTAAGAAGAAATGGCATTTCACTGTTCAGTCACTTGTTCATTTTGTTCAAAAGTTAATGTCTGCCATTTGAGTACAAATGCTTTCTCTTCATTCAGGTTTTTCTTTATAGCTGACTTAGAAACCACAGATGCAGAGTAGGGCTGGAAAGGTTTCAGATCAGCAGGTTTCACACCTCAGTGTTTTTTCATTAATGATACCAATGATTTGTTCTTTAGTGTTAGACTAGATTGAATTGAATTCATTAAACACAATAATACAGGCAAAAGAAAAAAGAGCCATGTTAATGAAAATTAAAACGGTACCCGGCACAGCTATGACCAAAATATCTGTACAATAGATAAGTGCATATGTTGACCTACAGTCACACCCTGAAGC